TAATTGTTCTACTATTGTAACAAATATTTTACTTACTAAAAACAATGAGTAAAGAACTTTCCTTAATAAAGTCCCACAATGATTTGATAGTGGTTCTTTGATTTGATAAAGAATAAATGGTAATGTAATATAATATTTAGAGTTATTATGATTTTCGTGACAAAGTGGTTCAGGTCGCTGACTTGGATTAAGTTGGTCCTCAAACCCATGAGTTCGAATCCTCCCTGACTATACTGGTTCATCATCATCATCATCATCATTGTTATTTTTATTATTATTATTATTATTATTATTATTATTATCATTGTTGTTGTTGTTGTTGTTCTTCTTCTTCTTCTTATTATTATTATTGTTATTATGTCTTTGTTTGTTTGTTTCATTTTACGCCTTTTCCCAACAGTGTTTCAGTCTTATAGGCGGGCAGTTTCCTAACCACCGTTCCTGGAGAGTAACATCAGTACTAGACTACCTTCCTCCGCGCTAAACTATCAAAGCATCTCCCGGGATCGAACCCACGCCAGAGAGGTGACTGGATTAGAAGTCATCGACTCTAACCCCTCGACCACGGAGGCGGCCTATTATTGTGTTTGTTTTTTTCATCGGTCTTTAATATATGTGTTTTTAAAGCAATCTTGACTTTATGCTTCATATAAACATATTATATTGAGTGCAACCACTGAAAAGTGTCCCTCCGTACTGCATTAACATTATGACAACAGCAGCATCAAGAGTTCTCATTAAATTTAATTTCTCAACAGCAATCAACATGTTATATCTCTTAAGGGAGAGTTTTGCTCTTCAAATGCTGTAGTGTTATAAACTTTAAGTTCGAATGAATGAAATAATATCACATATAACGTAATTTTATTCAAATATTTGTCATTATGTCTTTTGCAAATAATGTCAGTAAGGTCACTGTTTACGTCATACAAAAAGAAATAAAGGTGAAACAATCTTGTTATTGACTAGCAGATATGTTGAGATAACGCACTATTTTTTTTTCAATTTCCTCATTCAGATATTAATCCGCAATGTAAATATTTAAAAACCACTTGAGTTTTGTATGGACATGTTAAGGGTCTATGTAATGAAATGATTTCTGACAATAAAAGCGATATCGCAATGCAAATTCAATTCAAAAAGGCGTTTTCGCATTTTTATCACGAAAATTTGGCGCGCTTTGTTTGCTGCGATGTGCACTTGGCAATAAAACGCTTGATTTTTTGTTGTTTGTCTTGAATAAAGCTTTTAAAGTACAAGATTACTGTACCGGAGGTAATATTAATGTAATAAATAAAATGAAACGCAGATATTTATCATACAGAAAAGCACTTTTGACATTAATAAATGATGCGGGGCTTTCATTCAACACCCAAAATATAAAATCAAATTATGTGTTAACATTACTTATCGTGTCATATATTTCATTCATGTTGCCAATACATATATTATAATATGATAGTCAAGGTGCTGCAAAATCATTTATATTCATAGTGTACTTATTCAAAATCCCAGTCATATATTACGATCATTTCCATACATGAACAAGAAATTTTTAAGGATAAATTACGTGAATTAAAACCCTTTTTTTTAATTGAAATTCCTTGTTCAAAACTGTCGTTTCTGTTTTAAAACATGCTGTGAGAATATGTAACTTCTGTTGTCTTTATTTTTTCTTCTTCTCATTTGACTTAAAAAGAAAAGAAAACACCTTTTTCATGTAGCACATTCCTTCTTGCTTTAACGCTTGTCTCCGTACCACGTTTTTATTCATATAACGTTTAAATGGAATGCAAAAGTTACGTTCCCGGCGCCCGTTTACAACATTCCGTATATAATGTACAAGCATTAAATATTTCGACAACATCAAGGTCATGTGATCTGCCTCACGAAAGATGATGCTGTCTGAGGCATTTTTTTAAACAATAAAATGTGAAACTAATAATTTTATCCATTTATTATTAATGATTTATGAACTATCAAAGTCATTTAAGATGTTATTTTATCAACCATCGTTTAATTCACCATTGTTGCGACGTTATAAATGATTGCATGGCACTTAGACATTACTTTAATACCAAGATGAATTATCTTAAAATTGATTGAGTAATTTCGCCGTCTTGTGTGTATACACAATGTAATACAATCATATATATTTTTAATCATTTTATTCCATATTTACGTGTTACCACAGAGTTTGGGATAGGGTAGGTTTGTCAAGGCAGCGAGGAGGTGTAGGGATGGGGGTGGTCAAAACGTTTACCCCCTCCCTCGAGTTTTACAAAACTCTTGTTTAAAACCCACATTGGTGCCTCGGTAATATTTTCACAAATTGATACCAGTACTGATATTGTCCGCGAGTGAAACTGGCTCAAGGACGGTCCAATATAAGTATCAAAGATTTCTCTTTTCTAGTCAAGCTAGTTATTTAAGTGGATATATCTAAACTTAATTTTGAAAATGTTGTAAAACTTCACAATAAAAACAAGTGTTCTCACTGCAACACTGTAAATAACTAGCAGCTCAGTTTTATGAAAATAAAAAAGGAAATAATTCAGTTCTGCAAATACCATACACGTCACGCGCTGACGAGCTGTGGGAATCAATGATATTTTCAATTCCCGCATCGAAGAAAATAAAAACAGTTGTTTTGTGTTGTTCTATGTTTCTGACGCATTATTTTACTAAACTATTCACGAACTGGTACGGCAGTACGGGCATTTTAATTTTACGTACGTTTTTGGGTTAAATTAAATATTTTCATAATGAAATTAAAAAGGAGAGGTTTATATCAACATATATTTGTAATTCGGGATAAAGGGATAACAAATGTGTGCAATCATTTTTATTCAAAAGTACATTAAGTTTTCCCCTGTATACGCCCTTGATAACCTTGTAAAAGTTTACCTATACTGAATTGAACTTAAACTTCACTTGTATGATAAATTTTACATGTAATCGCTTGATTTTATTACATTTTATATATATACATGAACGTATTAATCACGCTCCGACATCCATACTGTACAAAATAAGATACGCACGGATTAAATACATAAAATGTCTCATACAACAGAGATAAATATCTGTGTCTAAACTGCATGACTTAAAAATGTACTTTTCAGCGAATCTCATATAAATAATACAAGAAAAGCATTGATGCAAAGCATCAATGGGCGACGCCAAAAGAATTTGATCCAGGTTTGCACCTAAATACTTAACAAAAGATGTGTACTTTATAGCAGCACCATTTCATGTGACCTGGAGGCTTGGCCCAGTTTATGTTGAAACTTAAACAAAAAAAGAATAGACTCTGTCTTGCCAAGATGCAAAGACAATTTATAGTCAATAAACCAATCTTAAGATTTACTTTACCAGATACAAGGATACCTGAGTCATCATCATAATATATTATAATGACAGGCACAAGTATCACACCTGGGAAGAAAAAATATGACCAGATTAATAAAAAATCTGTGTTCATCTTAAAAGTGTCAAAAACCAAAAAAAAAATGTAAATAATGACCCCCTTTAAAAATATACTATTAACTTAAAGTACTTTATTGGTTTTCATGTGGCACAAATCACCCACTATAAAATTTAGTGTACAAATTTATTCAAGGACAAGTATCAATCTACTCTATGAAAAGTCTGTTGTCGGGTTGACTCAGGAGACCTGGAGATTGAGACCGGTGTCCCTCCATTACAAATAGATAAGGCAGAAGCTGTCCTTTTCAAACTATGCACATGTTAGAAAAAAATTAGAATAACTATTCAGAACATGATTTTTTGAGGCTTTATCAATTATATTGCTTGATCCAAGTTTCAGGACATTTTCAATCAATACATGTATTATCATTTATAACTTTAAATGAAAGTCTCATCTCTTTAATAATAATGACATAACTGCAACTCTTTAAATTCAGAAATATTATAAGTCTCATCATACCAATATACTAAGATATAAATGTATGCACATAACATTAATAATTCCAAGTTTCTATTAAATAAATATGAAATATTGGGTATATAAAGCCAGTAAAAGTATATATATATCAATATTCACTCATCAGGGCCTCTATGCTTTTGATGACCTTACAACTGGTAAATTTTATAAAACAAAAATTGTAATCAATACCTAAGATAGACAGAAAAGAACAAATAATTTCGTAAACATGAGTTACTTCCCCTTGAAATAAAGAAAACATGAAACCCAAAAGAACACCCTAAACATCAAAATTAATAAATGTTGCAGGCTCATTTTAATTATGTCATGCAAATTAATGGTAAAGTATTCATAAAAAAGTAGATGGCCATGTGACAGCAGTAATTGCAGAAAATCGGATAGCTGTCAACATCCGGATACTGGTACACTTTGTAAAAACAACCATTCTGTACAACAGATAAACGTAATATGGATAAAATCAATAGGATAATCGTTTACAACAGTCCATTACCTATCCTAATACTCATTTGCAGGTGAACTTTCTTCTTGTAGGAAAGTTTTGAAAATATATAAATGAATGAGCATCAATGTAGACCACAACGATATTCGAAATCCGGGTTTTAGCATTGTCAATAAAACAAAGGGACAAGCTGTTAATCTGAGCCTGCAATTTCGTGAAAATAATATCACAATGCACATGCTTTTTATATAAAGTTATTAAATACAAATATAACAACATATTTGTTTACTTGATTTTTACGAATCAAAATAAATATAATTAACACAACATGAAATTAACTGCTAATAATAACAGCTCCTTCCATAGGCCAAAATAAAAAGTATTCCATAAAAGACGACGCCGCTCACCGGCGTCGCCAACAAAGTGAAATGCAGACAGCGCTTTACTACAGTACCACGTTAGTATTTAACAAGCTCAACGTTGATTGGCTACTTGTTTACAGATATGACGTAAATTTGCATATATGGAAGTTGAACTCTCACGTGGTACAGTTCACCGCCAGTCGATACGCGTGGTAAATATATAGCGGTATCGTCTGCTAGTGTGTAGTAGTAATTGAAAGAAAGTCAGACGATAAAGAAGAGAAGACGATAAAAACAAGCGAAAATAAATTAAAGGAATAAATATACATAGATATTTGACGGAGTTAGAGAAAAATATGAAAAATATAATTGGACAGTCTTGTCTAAGTGGCACTATGTGTAATAAAGAAGTAAATACCAGCGACAGTTTGGAGATTAAAAGCGGACGTTTGTGTCTTGTTCAGATGCACAAGGGACGTAAAATGCGGATACAAGTGTTCGTCCGTGTGTACAGGAGCTCGTTCGAACATTACGCAGTTCTGTTCAAGGATCAGAAATTCAGTCTCCAGTCGGGCTATATCAGTTTGAAGAACTGCATTGTGGATAAAACGAGCGGGAAAGAACACCAGGTTCGTGTTACGTTGAATGACTTTGAAGGAACGGGTGTTACATTTGAATCCAACACGTGCAAAGAAGCAGACGAATGGCAGGAGGCACTCCAGCCCCAAATAATGTCTTCATCTCCAACACTAAGCGCCATTGCGCCGAGTTTATCACCGGTCATTCCTAGATCACCATTAATGCCGACGTTAGCTGAGGAAGAAGAGAGTGACGAAGACGTATGAGGTGCCGACGACGACATTCCAACGGTCATTGTTGTTGTCATTCTGTGAAATGGATCCCTAAATCCATTTGTTCGAAACTAGCGTCAGGCATTATTTTGGACATTTTAGCCGAGTTTTACGACTTGGCGATTTTTTAAGTTGAAATCCCGCCAGACTCTAGTGAAGTTGCCAAGACTTTAGTGAAGTTGCTAACACTTTGGTGCTACATTGGTGCGATTAGAGACGACAGATAACTGTGATATGTAACGTTATAGTGCAATGGATTCTTAGCAGACGATAAAAAAAGTTCTTACTTGGATTACGTACTGCCATAACAGAACATTTAAAATGTTGATAAAAATCTACTCAACAGAACACCACAAACTCTCAACACTATGAAATTTAAAGACGTGTCGTTATTTAACTTAGGACACTTTAACTACAGGGGAGAGTGCATTTTAGGTGTAATTTATATAATTTAAATATTTTAAGGACAAACATTTTTGAAGAGAGTATTAAAATTTTCAAGGACTTCTAGTGAACAATCCTTTATACGCTATGACACAGGTTTTGGTAAACAAAAAACACCCACTTACGAATCGAATGATGTAAATGCTACTTCAGACACGCCAATAAAACTTTACCTGCGTTAATAATGAGATAAATGATATCTCCCCTGGGCGCGTGCCAGAAATAAAAACAAGACTGTAGGAGTAGTCGCCCTTTATCCGGTGTTTTATTGTGTTCTATTGTAAATTCTTCATTGATTTATTTTTGATTGTATAATTATGCATTTCTTTACTTTAATCTAGTCTGCTTTTCTGCAATAAGTCATTTCTAAAGTGTGTTTTAAAATTTTGTAAATCATTTAAAATCATACGATTTACTTCACCGATTCAACATTCACTTGAATGACTCATTTAGGTTTATTACTGTATATCAACTGTAGTGGGAAAGTTTCTCTCTTATCGTATTGTTCATCATTTTATCATGGTTTGATAAATAAAGCTATACAAATAGGCGATGAATCATTGATTGATGGAGATTAAATGTACTACGGAAATCATTTATTACTATCTATTCAACTAAATCATTTTATAGAAATGCTATTTTAAGAAACACCGTGATGTTTAATTGTTTATCATTTCCGAATCGCATGATCCTTTAAGTAAGTAAAACTTTTGATGATAAATCATTGTTCAATAAAAAAAATATGTATAATTTATTTTAAGATCTGGCTCAAAGAAAATTTAAGAACTGTACTAGTTAACATCAGTATATTAGAATATGATAGATTCCTAAGGGAATGCATAAAAAATAGTTTCTTTACTTTGATCAAAGATAATAAAACACACTAGCAGCGTTGTTAAAAATACTGTTGTAATTTATTTTTATTTTTGTGTATTGAGAAAATTGTTGCTAAGAGTTGTTACAAGTTATGAATATGGTTGTGCAAATTTATTCATTGAGTTTTTGAAACATTTGTTAATATATTTATTAGAATTGTTGTATGTTTATATATGAAAAAGTGCTATTTGTTGATAAAATAAATATAAAAATACAGAGAAAAAAAACATTTGAATAAAAATTATAAACTTTTAAATAATGTTATTGCCTTTTCTATTCCCCATGTATTTCCTTTAAGTATAGGTTAAAGTTTATCAGTAAGTATTTACAAAATTAAATTGGCCAGGCGCGGTGCGGTGTGTTACGATTCATTTGAAATGGACAAAAAATAATTTCAACCATTAGATCTAGATGAAATCACCTTACCAATAAAAGTGTGGGCATTTAAAATTTGTGAGAACAAGTAATGAAATAAGTTTAGAAATTATAGCTCTTGGGTTCGAGCCCTACTTGAATAACAAAAGCAAATTCCCCACTTACACCAGTACTGGTTCTCTCCATGAAGCGGACTCGAAACAAGTTCTTATTAGCCCAACAAATTGTGCGTCAGGGCTTTCAATTATATAGATTGTGGTCGCCCTTCATATACGTGTATATGTAATATCAGTTTATAAAATAGGTCGGTCTTGCAGTCGAAATATTGAGGCTAGGCTCAGATAACTTTAAACTACCTAAAATCTGACTATTATTATTATTATATTACAAAAAATGTACCCCCCGCTCTAGAGCACGATAAGCGAAAAGTTTTGTGTGACTAATAATAAGTACATATATATTTCAGTAATTGGCAGATATATGATTAAAACACTTATTCAAAGTCATACCGTGTTCCTTACTCATCGTTTATCATGCACGTTACCTTCGTGGTTAAATTTGAGGACCTTGAATCACTTGCCCCCACCGAATAAAGCTAAGGATGGTAGATTCTCTCTTGTCTGGAATCTCTGTAGTTAGTTTGCGGCCGCGGAAGGCTTGCTTATCTCAGTGACCCGCATGTCCGGAGAATACACAGATCAGTTACACACATGATCAAAGGGAGGTAATTTCACAGATAGGCTGCATATATTTACCTCCCTTGAATTTTGAGTTTCTTTACCAAAAATGTAAGGTGATTTTTATCGATACAATAAAAAAGGATGTTAGGATTAGTGTTAAATGCACATCAATTCATTCGTCAACGATATTATGAAATCATAACGTATACAATGTACGTTTGTTTTATACTCCAACTGTAAATGAATTTTACTTAGATTTGCTTGTTTGACTTGATTTGACTTGAGTTAAAAAAAAACCGATTCCGCCAGACGCAAACAAATCCTGTTGTAGTTATATGAGTTTGTAGAAGTACGTGTGGTGTGAAATAGTCATAAAACAATGGAAACAAATGACCTCATTTGGTAATATGTCATTGAAACATAATATTAAGTGTTTCACAAGGCCGTCTATAGCACATCAGTAAAGTTGGACAAAACTTACTTACAAAATATAGAGTTTGTCTGTTGTTTTTTTTTTTCGGCAAAAGTGGGGGAAATTTTTTAACTTCAGGACATGTATATGTAAACTGTGTAAGCTTTAACGATGCTAAAGTATCTTTATGGATATCATAATTATAAAACATTTGAAAAATAATTAAAGATTTTTCAAAGTCGATTATTGCTTTTTTGTGCTTAAAACGAAAACATCCGTCCTTTAACATCTAAGTTTTGTGAAATCCATCTCCGTCATTTACAGGGAAAAATCTTTTCTTTTCTTATGATTAAGTATGATGATGATTATAATGATGATGATGATAATAAAGGGTAATGATGCTGCTGTTTAAGGATGATGATCATGATGATGATGATGATGACTAAGTATGATTATGGTGATGATGATGATTTAGGATGGAAATGATGATGACTAAGTATGGTGATAAAGGATGATGGTGATAAAGGATGATGATGATGGTGGTGGTTGTGATGATGACTAAGTATGACTATGATGCTGATGATAATTATTATGATGATGATGATAATGATGATGATGACTGAGTATTATTATGGTGATGATGATGATGCTGATGATAATAAGGCATATCACGATTAAAACTGTTGTACAATGTTCAAGACATTTTAAAATTAAATATAAGGTTAAACTAACTTTAAACAGGTTCGATCATTTATTGTCAGGAATATTCTGCGGTATATTAACCTGTTTATGAAATACGCATGTATGCTTGAATATATTCCCACCATCACATCCGGTTTATGAAATTCGTTACACTCGTAACTAATTTTACCTAGTCTAACTAAAGGGAAGCAACTTGTACTCATAACAAAACAGATATTTACAAAATCTACTTAATCCCCATTCAAAGCTACGTACATGTATAATTATAATGGCATTTGGCTAGCCCCTTTTATAGTAAACGCTCTGATAATGGTATAATATTGTATGGTACGGTACGATACGATACAATACGATACGATACGATACGATACGATGCGATATGATATAATGTGATACATGAATGATATGATGTGATCCGGTGCAATGCGATGCGTTGTGGTGCGGTGCTGTGCAGTGTTATGTAGATTAATATCGGGCATGTACATACGGGCCTGTGGAAAAATAAGCGAAAACTTTGATTATCAATAAAATATGGTAAAGTATAAGCATAGTTATATATATCTTTTCATGAAATATTAAATAGTTTGGGATTGGTCAATACATTTTGGCAACATTGCTCTACATATCCAACAGTAAATGATTGTGTGACGGACGGACACTGGCTTTAATAGCGACTTCAAATCGTTTATTAAGGCCTGATTGTTCATGTTTTTCTCAGTTGTTACAGAAGTATAAGACCTGTGGATTGTAAGCTTTTGCTTCGACTCCAAATTCTCATTGTCACAAAAAGATACGATCTGCTTATATCTTACAATTCATCTGGAAAACTTACGAAACAGGAAGATGGCATTTCCATCATAAGGTATGTTGTTGTTGTTTTTGAATGTACGTGCACAATGTATGTTCAATGCATAAATTTGTGAAACATTATTAGTAAGTTTTTTCACGACTTTTAACTTTTCGTGATATTAAAGTTTTTGCTTGCTAGAAAAAATTATAATACATCGTCTAACTGTTGCAATGGCTAATTGTCAGTTTTTTCTTTTCAACCATTTCTATTTTCTAATGAATTTTCACTTCCAATCAACGCAAATAGGGCCATATAACCTGTCAAAAATCTTTATAACAAATATTATACCACTGCAGGTTTGTAACGTCTTTTTTCATTGGATAATCGTGAAGTTTATATAATTTTATATAAACGGCTGTTTTTCACTTTGAAGACATTTCATTTTTTTTTCAAGTAAAAGGTGGAAATTTGCTGTATCATAAATTTGTTATAAAGATTCCTGACAGGTTAAATGGCCGCATGTAAATGGTTGTTTGCAAAATATACTGTTTCATGAGTGTATAGGATATTGTTTTTTTTTCATTTAGACATTTGCATTTCAAAAAAGTATGTATGCTAGTTCTATGATCAGCAATAAAATTTCAGTGAAGGGGGGGGGGGGGGCGGGTGATGGTAATCATATTTTAGGACAATTTGCAAAAAAAAGGTCGGTTAACACTTTATAACAAGATCATTTTGATGTATCAGGCATGTCATTTTGCTAGAACAAACACATCTTTTACATGAAAACTTAAAAAAGTATGTTTAAGTATGGAACGCCATAGCTGCCTTATATTCAATCTTATCAAGTCGTGATGTCCTTTGGATAAATGGTGATGTCGTTTTATAGATGGTGCTATGGTTTTGATAGATGGTGATGTTATTTTCATATATGGTGATGTCGTTCAGATAGATGGTCATGTAATTTAGATATATGGTGCAGTCATGTTATAAACGGTGCAGTGGTTTTGATATATGGTGATGTCATTTTAATAAATGGTGCTGTGATTTCAATACTTGGTTAAGTCTATTTGAAATATTGTGCTGTAGCACTGATCGATGGTGTTATCGTTTTTACATATGGTGATGTCGTTTTGATAAATGGCGAAGTCGAATTGATAAATGATGCTGTAGTTTTGTTAAACGGTGTTGTAAGTTTTAAAGATGTGGCTGTAATTTTGATACCTGGTGATGTCGTTTCAATAGACGGTGCTGTGAATTGGATAAATGGTTATGTCGTTTTGTAAGATGGGGCTGTGGTTGTTACAGATGGTGCTGTAATTTTGATAAATGGTTATGTCGTTTTGTTAGATGGTGCTGTGGTTTTTATAGATGGTTATGTCGTTTTGTTAGATGGTGCTGTGGTTGTTGTAGATAGTGCTGTGATTTTGATAAATGGTTATGTCGTATTGTAAGATGGTGCTGTGCTATTTATAGATGGTGCTGTAATTTTGATAAATGGTTATATCGTTTTATTAGATGATGCTGTAATTTTGATAAATGGTTGTCGTTTTGTTAGATGGTGCTGTAATTTTGATAAATGGTTATGTCGTTTCAATAGACTTTACATGTACCTCATATAGACGTTATTTGACGGCTTGTCGACCCCCCCCCCCCTTATGAGGCCTCAGGCAGTACAAAATGCCCTATTTAAGCCCTAGACACTGTTTTTCGTTTGAGAAATGTTGTTAAAAAGTGACCATATTTTCGGCGCCGCCCCCATCAAAATGGTACATCAAGGGGTTGTCAGAAAGGGGATGTGCCCCCTTCTGTTTGGGGGGGGGGTTGAAGGGGGCGGCAGTCCCCCTCATCACCAAGAAAATTTTGGACATGTGACAGGCTTAAATGGCCTCAGGTCGATCGTAAGGTAACGTGTAACCAACGCTGAAAAGCCTTTTGCTCTATCTCAATCCATTGAGAAGTTGCAGCACTTTGAAATCACTTTTGATGGAAAAAAAACAATGCAAAATAGTGATTTTTGGCAATTTTGAGACGTTCCCCCTTTGCCAATTTTACAGGAAATTTAAGATTGAGCATGCTGTTACATGTACAGAGGCTATTGTCCAGTCAACATTTGTGCCAATTTTCATCAGTATCGCAGCATTTTTCATAGTTCCATAGCAATTTGAACTTTTAACAGGAGGCTTTCCATTGAAAACGGCCATTTTTGACAATTTTCTCATCAAGAAAAGGGTTAAATGTTTTTCTCTGAGATAAATTAATTAAAATTAAAGTTGAAATGTATAACTGGTGGAAAACAA